TTTTCAGGGAAGAGCTGGGTTTTAGTTAGATTTAGAAGATAATGAAACATTTGGAGACAAAATTGAAATTATTAGTGGTGTTGATCTGGGTGGAGAGAGGTTTAGCTTTCTTTAACTGTATTGACAAGGTATGCTTTTTGACGTAGCACTTCATAATCCAGGTATATTTAGGGATATTCTGGCATATGTGAAAAATGACATGCATAGAAAGGTATTTATTTCATTGCAGTATTGTTGTTAACAGTAAAAAACTAGAATGTTCCTCGTTAGACTTATTAAATAATTTATGATATACCCATATGTTGGAATTCTGTGCAACCACTGAGGAAAAAAATGAGGTATCCCTAATATGTACTGATACAGCATAATTGTCAAGACACTATTATATCATACCATGTGTTCAAAAAAAAAAAAAGACTGTGAATACCCATATGTTTCTTCATATGGGTGATTCTAGTAGGATGTACGAACTGTAACTATTGATTGTCTCTAGGGAGGCCTTTCAGGTGCTTATTTGGTAAAATTGGGAGGGAGACTTGATTTTCTCTGTACACTTTTTGAACCATTGCCTATATATGTAGTTTTAAAAAATAAAATAAGTTTTAAGAAAAGCTTCAAGCCAGGTTGTGACAAACCTTTCTTAATGGTTGAAGTTTGAATTTTACATGGTATTAGGTGTTGGCGTGCTCCAGTTCACGGCAGCACAAAGAGTCAGAAAGGACAGCCACTGAACAACATCAACAACAAAGTGATGATAATTATGTGAACAGAGCTGTGTTTTCGGAAATTTCCCTAATATCCATCCTTCAAATGGATTAGAAAAGATAAAAGTCAGGACCGTCAGACTTGTAACTTGTAAGGAGGCTGTTGCAGTAGCCTGGGTTTGTATTAATGCTTATTTCTGCACATTTCTCAAATGTGTTTTGGTTTAACATCCTGGTTTTCCATCAACTCCGTCAGTGTTTGGCAGATAGCAGGCACACCCATACGAATATTCTCATATGGATGAGAATATCCAAGCATCATACATTTTCTCCAGTGAGTCTTAGTAATCATTGACTCTTGAATTCCTGTGTCATGTTTTGTTCCTGTTGTTTGGCATTTGCTTATTTTAGTAATAAATGACCTTGCCCACTAATTATAAACCCTACCAGGCTACTGTATCTCTTTTTTTCTCTCTCTGTTTAAATTGTTGTACAGGATGAGTTATGATGTTATTACTACTACTATCATATGTATGAGTAGATACCATTTTTATGTTGTTATTTATTATTATTTATTTGTATGTTATTATTATTGTTTACTTTGCCTTTGTATGTGTTTCTTATAGACTCGCCCTTCTATTCTCATTAAAATAGAAGTTTTGCATAGTGATTGAGAGCACAGACTCTGAAACTTGGTGACTTGGAATTTTCTAGTGAACCTTGAGCAAATTACTTAACATTAGTATACTGCAGTTTCTTTATGCAGTGGAGATTTGCAGATTAAATATATTTAATGCAAAGTGCTTAAAACAATGCTTGACACATAGTGAGTGTTTAGTATGTTATGGAAGTTTTTGCCAATACTAATGATTGAGTGGAAAGAAAGTCAGCTGAATATCCTCAGTTATTATTTACTTATCCTTTTCATTTTATGTTAAGCTCTACTCTTGTTTTCATTAAAAAAAGGCCATTTCTGAGCTTTTCTTTGTTTCCTTGAAATTATAGCAGCCCCTGTCTCCTGGGGCACACTAGCATGGTAATGAATTGACTTTAACAATTTTGTTTACTTTACATTTTCTTTTGATAAATTGGATTCTGTTGTTCAGGGATGTTAATCCACCTTGTTCACTAATACATTTTATAATTACAAAAAAAAATATGACAGACAGTGGGAACCCTGACAGAATTCCCCTCTTGAGATACTGATATGTTTATGTTGCTTTGTGCTACTCTGTACTAGATGTATGCATTAATCAGGTGTCCTGTGTGGTTTGTTGCCTTGATGCTTAATCACTTGACTGATGGCCCTTTTGACAAAGAATATAGCCAATTTCAAACAGCTGAGTTTCATCTTATAGCTGCTTAAATAAATCACTTTTAAAAACAGTTGAAACGTTCCAAGTGTGAAAGAAAAATGCAATTTATTTTCATGTAAGTCTCCATTTAGATGATTTTTCAATGTTTATTTTTTAAATTTAAAAATTCTGTGAAACTGAATTTGTTTCATTGAAATTAACTTTCATAAACTACTTGTTTGATTACTGGTGATAGTGGATAGCAGAAATGAATTTTGTATCACAAGACTTCTTACAGTTCTCTTTTGAATTTAATTGCACCATCAAGTGTGTTTTAATTTGTTTACCTTTCATTTTGTTTTTATTTCAGCCTAACTAGTCATTGTTTATTACTTTTGTTTGTTTTATCAGATTTCAGAAATTAAAGCAGCTGAAATATTGTGAAATGAGAGACTATCTATTTTGAATTAGCTCTGAAAAGCTCTCTGCCTGAAAACTACATTATTCTTTTGAGTTATTCCATGATTGGTTTCTAGAGTCTGACTTTGTCTTTGGGAACAGATATGATTAAATCTGTTTGAAATTGGGAACAAATGACTCATGTTTGGAACTACTTAAATTCTGAGTCTTAATTATGTGGAAGTACTTGCATTTTTTTTAAAAGGTAGCTGTTTTTCTTTCTTTCCTTGGCTAATCTATATACTTTTTGATCAGTATTTCTATTAAAATCTTATTTTTAAACTAGAGCCTCTATATCTTAGAATATTAAAATAAGGATACTATCTAGGTCTTTGTTATACTAATGTATTAAGAAGAAAACATAGCCAGAATGTAAGAAAACAATAGCAGTAAAGTCAAAACAAAAAGTTAATAATGAGATGAAACTTTTTATTAACAAAAAGTTAACTCCTATACAAAACAAAATGTATAAGAATTAATAATGATCTGATATAGCTAAATAATAACCTTTGTTGAAAAAAGAGAGCTGTGTTGAATAACAGGGTGGCAACAGAGGAAATAGATTTAATTATTAGTTTATGTCATCAAATCCATTCTTCTGACAGTATTTTAATTTATATGCCAGTTTTCTTCCTGTAGTGTCATTAATAAATTAGTGTTTAAAGTTTTTTATATTAAAAGCAAATAGTTTGGAAGTAGCATGTTAACTTTTACTAGTACAACCTTTGGAATATTTTTGATTTATTAGCCATGTGTATTTGTAGATGAAGAAAAAATATCTATAGGTAATATAGCTGGTTTTCCCTTGACATCTCAGCCATAACAAAATTTCCTAAGTTAAGGATAGAATTTCAGTTCTGATAACTCTGTCCTTTACCAGACACAATAATATTTCTCCTTCAGTGGTGTGAGGTTGTGCGTATAAATTGAGTTGGGATAGATGAATAGTTGCCATCAATACAGTTATATTGCATTAGGGTCCACAGGGCAGATAACATTAGCTGAGACAACAGTTAGGTTGAAATTGTTGTACAAATAAGTCTATTGCATTGCTCCATAGTCATATAGTATTGAAGGGAGCATTTGCTGAATTTTACAATAGTCAATGATATTTCATGAAATTTCTTTAAAAATTGCATGTATTGAAGAAGGATTTAAAGATGTAATGAAAAGTGAGCATCTCAACGTGTATTTTTATGGGAAATATTCTTGATGTGTACTTATTTTCCTTATTCATTGTCAGCTTAGCAAAGCTTCTTACTATATTATTAACTAACCATATACTTTTTGGTAAAAAGATGTCACAGTTAATCTATAAAGAAAAATATGTCATGTAGTTATTTGTATGCACTTGGTGAATGTTTAAAATCTACAGAGCACTGCCATATCATTTTAGCCACTTTTGCTTTGGGCAAGTTACTCAACTCCAGTCCTTAGTTTTCTCATATATAAAAAGTGGATAGATTAATACCTATCTCATAGGGTTGTTATGAGAATTTAATGAGTTACTTTGTGTAGTGGTTATAGTGAGTGGTCAATGAATATTATCTATTATTGGTATTATTATGTAATTAGTTAAAGATCAATAATTCTTATGTTCTCTAACTTTATGACTGAGCTTCTAGAAAGGATATTTAACTCATTGAGAAATAATATGTGTGATGATTCATTTTACTCTTAATTCTGTTAGGTTACTTAACATTCTTGTTGATTATATAACAACTTTTTTAGGACTCCAAGTTATGGTCTTTAAAGGTGAATAAAACCTTGTGTTCTGCTTTGGAGTTACTTATTTTGAAACTTGTGTAAAAAGTCAGTAAAAGAGAGGTGAATTCTCTTAAGTAACTTGAAAAGAAGGAAAAATTTTTACTTAGTTTTTCCTTTGTTTGTGGTTTATAAGTCAGAGAGATCATTTTAGATTGGGAGGTGAGAAATGATTGGAGGAAACGTAATGATTATTTAATGATTCCATTCATATGTATATTTTATCCTTTTATTGTTATACCTTCCTTAGTTGTGCATAATTCAGCTTGTGTACTCATTAATTTATTAAAATAACATTAAATATTGTGAAATTCTATCATCTACACAGAATGGTAGGTGAGAAAAAGCTAAAGTTAAGAAAAAGGTTTATTGACTATTCTCTTTTGATGTATTTTTAATATACCAAACCATTAAGTCTGCCCTCAATACTTTTACGGTGTAACTTGTTAGCCTTGACAGTTTGGTATGTTGTAATATGGTTACTAAAGATGAATTGAAAATCATGTCAAGTTCTAGGAACCAAAAATACCATCTGTGGTTCAGAATTGTATAGCTATGCAGTTCTCCACCACTCTTAATTTTATATGTCTTGATAATGACTTAATCTCCAAAAGGCCTAATACAATTTGAAGGCATTTCAAGTAGATCTGTTATTATTGTAGATAGAATCACTTTAGAAATAGGGGAGAAAAAAACCAAATTCTGAAATGTTGTCATTGTAACATCACAAGGATAAGTAAATAGTCTTACTGATCCAAGTATGTACTTTGTTCCTTAGTATTGAATTTGACCGAGATTGTGACTACTTTGCAATTGCTGGGGTTACGAAGAAGATTAAAGTCTATGAATATGGCACAGTCATTCAGGATGCGGTGGATATTCATTACCCTGAAAATGAAATGACCTGCAATTCCAAAATCAGGTATTTACATTATTTACTTGGCATAATGTAGTGTGTATGCAGCAGTATCTGTGATTAGTATGTTTGTTATTTTTACCTTTTCATGTGATACTTGACTCATTTGTGATGAACATTATTAATTATATATAGAAGATACATCAGAATATCTTTTTTTTTTAATAGATATTGATTGCTTTTTCCTTGTGGGGGTTAGTAGTTAGTGTTTTTCTATTTGCCAAATGAAAATCTTCTTTCATTTAATCAAATGTCTTTATTGTAGATGACCTTTCATGGGGTATTGAATGAAAGATTATTGTAGCCAGTAAATAGTATCTCAGAGTCTGGAATTTTTCCTCTAGTATGCACATATCTCTAACTTTTATAATTGTTTACAATTTTAAGAATTCTTTTCACAAGGATGGTATGTGTCTTTTTGTGAGGGCATAGTGTTTAAGTTTCATATATTAAGGGCTAGAGTTTATAATGAGTGCTTTTTAAAACTGGAATACTGTTAAAACTGCAGAAACTAGACCCAGCTTCTGACCTGCCCCCACAAAAACTAAAAGGAATGCTAGAATCTTCATGTTTAAAACAAGCTTCCTAAGCTATTTTCATAGGCACTGGCTTCAGAGGGAGTGACATCAAGAAACTAATAGTAAAAATTTTTTTTTTTAATATCCAAGCCACATTTTTTTTTTTTTTTACTTTGTTAGGCTAAGTACATCTTTTTTTTTTTTTTAATTAGTTGGAGGCTAATTACTTCACAATATTGTAGTGGTTTTTGTCATACATTGACATGAATCAGCCATGGATATACATGTATTCCCCATCCCGATCCCCCCTCCCACCTCCTCTCCACCCGATCCCTCTGGGTCTTCCTAGTGCACCAGGTCCGAGCACTTGTCTCATGCATCCAACCTGGGCTGGTGATCTGTTTCACCCTAGATAATAAACATGTTTTGATGCTGATCTCTTGAAATGTCCCACCCTTGCCTTCTCCCACAGAGTCCAAAAGTCTGTTCTATACATCTGAGTCTCTTTTTCTGTTTTGCATATAGGGTTATCGTTACCATCTTTTAAAATTCCATATATATGTGTTAGTATACTGTAATGGTCTTTATCTTTCTGGCTTACTTCACTCTGTTTAATGGGCTCCAGTTTCATCCATCTCATTAGAACTGATTCAAATGAATTCTTTTTAATGGCTGAGTAATATTCCATGGTGTATATGTACCACAGCTTCCTTATCCATTTGTCTGCTGATGGGCATCTAGGTTGCTTCCATGTCCTGGCTATGATAAACAGTGCTGTGATGAACATTGGGGTGCACGTGTCTCTTTCAGATCTGGTTTCCTCGGTGTGTATGCCCAGAAGTGGGATTGCTGGGTCATATGGCAGTTCTATTTCCAGTTTTTTAAGGAATCTCCACACTGTTTTCCATAGTGGCTGTACTAGTTTGCATTCCCACCAACAGTGTAAGAAGGTTCCCTTTTCTCCACACCCTCTCCAGCAAGGAAACTAATAGTAAATTTGCTTAAAACTTTGAACATTTTCCAGTCATTCTGGTACCTTTTTTATCTGGATGAATGACATATAATATATGTGGTCATTTTAATAATGTTAATAATATAGCAAGTACTGTAGTCTTTATTTGTATAGCTTTCTTTTCTGTTTCCTAATTCATATAAAAATAATAGACAGATCTAACTGGTGTTCATCATTGAGAATGTGTAATGGTTATCTACTTAGTTTATATACTTTATTCCTAAGTGAAAAGAATGCAGCATGAGTGAGACATAATTTTATTGAATTCTTCAGTGGCAGGCATCATCATCAGTTCTGAGTCTTAAGCAGACCATCATTACCCTATTTTTATTCACAAGGAAGCTGGAACACGAAGAGTTCATTAACTTGTTGATGGTTGTACAGCTAGTCTCTGGAGTAGCCAAGATTCGAGCAGAATCTTGCTCTTAACTGTTTCATGCTACTCATTTGTAAAATAGAGGCTCTAATAGTAATATCTATTTCATAGGATTATACTTTAAATAAATCCACATGATGCACTCAGCAGAATACTTGACCCATATCAAGAATTCATAATAAATGTTACCATAATGAAAATATGGATTAGAGGGTTTACCTTGTCTGTCTTGACAGATATAAAGCAATATGGTAGTATTTTATGCACCTTGGAATAAAGAGAAGGAAACTGTTCAAATCTGTAAACAAGTGACTTGGGACTGAAAGGGTCAATATGTAAGCTTCCCTGAAACCCATTTGGAGCGCACCAGTTGTGAAAGTGAACTGAATTACCCAAAGCCACAGCTAGTAAGTTGCAGATCTGGAATTTAAGCTCAGGTCTGACTAAATCCAAGGCTCTTGACTATTCCACATAATTTCTCCCAGAAATTCTAATAAGTACATCTAAAGTTGCAAATAAATTCTTCAACCCCTAAAATGTAGCTCAAATACAGCCAGAAGACAGCAAAAAGGCTTTGTGTTCAAATGCTTGGACATGACTTAGGTCAGCTGCTTTGCTTTCTAAGTGACTTTTTTCTTTAATATACATTAGCTTTACTGTATGTGTGATGCACATATATATCTAGCCAAAAGCATATATTTTTAGATGTTGCATTCTCAATATTGGAACATTCGAGAAATAGCCAAAACCATAAATGTTAGAAATTTAATTCTGTTAAGTGCATTTTATTGAAATTTGAACCATACACTTATGTTAGTCAACATTTGCTTGTAAACCCAGAGACTCAATTCAGACTAGTTTACCGGCTTACATGATCTGACACAACTGGATGTAGGGGCCTGAAGGGTCTGATTTGGTCCCTGCCACTCTGCCATGACATACGTGTGCCCTCCTGGCCTGTGTTATCTCCACCTACAGACATGTATTCCTCATGTGTCAAGGATGGCCAGTAGGAACTTTAGGCACACCATATCTGTCTTCTAGCTGGTGATAAGAGTGAAAAGTGGTTATGGTTTGTAACTTGGTGGTTTCAGTTGAAAAATCTGAGAATTATTTGATGCTTTCTTCCTTGATGGACTGTGGGCAGAATAATTATTGTGAATTTGTGTAGACCATTTTGAAAGGGTTCTAATCTTTCTGAACACATCCAAATTCTTTGTATCCATTGCCGTTTGTTTTTCTGTAAAACAAGGCTTAACTTAATATCCTTTTCTTTCAGCTGTATCAGTTGGAGTAGTTATCATAAGAACCTATTAGCCAGCAGTGATTATGAAGGCACCGTCATCCTATGGGATGGATTCACAGGACAGAGGTCAAAGGTCTATCAGGTAAATAAGAATACTGGTTACCTGTTATTGTTGTTACTGTTTAGTCGCTCAGTTGTGTCCAACTCTTTGCAATCCCATGGACTGCAGCACGCCAGGTTTCCTGTCCATCACTATTTCCAGAGTTTGTTCAAACTCATGTCCATTGAGTTGATGATGCCATCCAACAATCTCATCCTCTATCATCCTGTTCTCCTTTTGCCCTCAATCTTTCCCAGCATCAGGGTCTTTTCCAATGAGTCAGCTCTTTGCATCAGGTGGCCAAAATATTGGAGCTTGTTATAAGAATCACATTTGTACTTTTTAATAATTATAGAGCTTTGTGTGTTTTATAATTACAAATTTAAAATCATTATTTAGTATTTTCTCAGTTCCTCAGTTCAGTCGCTCAGTCATATCTGACGCTTTGCACCCCATGGACTGCAGCACACCTAGTTTCCCTGTCCATCACCAACTTCCAGAGCTTGCTCAGACTCATGTCCATTGAGTCAGGGATGCCATCCAACCATCTACCTATGTAATTCAAGTAATGCTTTTATGATGCATCTCTTCAGACTCTTTGCGATTGTGGGATATATCAAATGAATTTCCAAAAGTGGTAATTTTATAAATATATATTTAAAAAGTTTATGAACTACTTTGCATCTCATTTATTTTCATAGCCAGTTCTTTCTCCCTCTCACCATAGTGATAAATTGGTATCAAGTTTGTTTATTTGTTTTGCTTTATTTAAGATCTATATTCTGAGACTACTTTGTCTTCCTTCTACATCTAGGAGCATGAGAAGAGATGTTGGAGTGTTGACTTTAATTTGATGGATCCTAAACTCTTGGCTTCAGGTTCTGATGATGCAAAAGGTACTATTTGGGTCTCCTCCCTTGACTTAATTCCTTTTAAAACCTAACAGAAATACAGATACTTATTGAAACCCATAGCGATCCTTTGCGATTACTGATTATTCTAAAAACAGTCTAATAAGCACAAAAATCTGTATTTATTGGAGTGAAAGAAAAATGAATATTCTGCATCTTCATTATAATATTTTTTCTGAATTCATGCCACACTGTGATGTTTTTATAACCAGTTCCTTTATATATACTGTGAAATGAACTTTTTTGTTGAAATATTTAGACACTGCTGTATTTTGAATTGTATTAAATTCTGAGTGTATACCAAAATCTTTTAATGAAGTTTATCATGTTTCAAGGCAGAGATTCTATATTTCTTTCTGCCAGTTTAGTTGATCCCTCTTTCTATTTTTGTGTATGTATGTGTGTGTGTGTCTGTCTTTACTATTCATTCTTTACTGTTGTTGTCTTGTTTTGGCCTGTTGCTTCTCAAGATTAGATTTATAAAGCCCTGTTAACAGATGTCTTTTATCTTGGCCCTTTCCTTCTTTACAATATGTAACTTGCAGACTAGTGAATAGATAGGCAGGGGTAGCTCTAGTGTTGAAAACTTTATTTCACAGTGATTGTTGTTGTTGTTGTTCAGTCTCTTGGTCGTGTCCGACTCTGTGACCCCTTCGACTGCAGCACGCCAGGCTTCCCTGTCCTTCACCATCTCCTGGAGCTTGCCCAAACTCATGTCCATTGGGTCGGTGATGCCGTCCAACCATCTCATTCTCTATTGTCCCCTTCTCCTCCTGCCTTCAGTCTTTCCCAGTATCAGGGTCTTTTCTAATGAGTCAGCTCTTCACATCATGTGGCCCAAGTATTGGAGCTTCAGCATGAGTCTTTCCATTGAATACTCAGGACTGATTTCCTTTAGGATTGACTGGTTTGATCTTCTTGCAGCCCAAGAGACTCTCAGGAGTCTTCTCCAACACCACAGTTCAAAAGCATCAATTCTTCAGCTCTGCTTTCTTTATGGTCCAACTCTCACATCCATACATGACTATTGGAAAAAACCATAGCTTTGACTAGACGTACCTTTGTTGGCAAAGTAATGTGTCTGCTTTTTAATATGCTGTCTAGGTTTGTCATAGCTTTTCTTCCAAGGAACAAGGGTCTTTTAATTTCATGGCTGCAGTCACCATCTATAGTGATTTTGGGGCCCAAGAAAATAAAAGTCTGTCACTGTTTCCATTGTTTACCCATCTATGAGTGATGCCATGATCTTCATTTTAGGAGTGTTGAGTTTTAAGTCAGCTTTTTCACTCTCTTCTTTCACCTTCATTAAGAGACTCTTTAGTTCCTCTTCGCTAAGGATGGTGTCATCTGCATATCTGAGGTTATTGGTATTTCTCCCCGCAATCTTGATTCCAGCTTGTGCTTCATCAAACCTGGCATTTCACATGATGTACTCTGCATGTAAGTTAAATAAGCAAGGTGACAACATATAGCCTTAACATACTCCTTTCCTAGTTTGGAACCAGTCCTTTGTTCTATGTCCAATTTTAACTGTTGCTTCTTGACCTGCATACAGGTTTCTCAGAAGGCAGATGAGACGGTTTGGTATTCCCATCTCTTGAAGAATATTCCACGGTTTGTTCTGACCTACACAGTCAAAGGTTTTAGTGTTGTCAGTGAAGCAGAAGTAGATGTTTTTCTGCAATTCTCTTGCTTTTTCTGTGATCCAACAGATGTTGGCAATTTGATCTCTGGTTCCTCTGCCTTTTCTTAATCCAGCTTGAACATTTGGGAGTTCTCAGTTCAGGTACTGTTGAAGCCTAGCATGGAGAATTTTGAGCATTACTTTTGCTAGCATGTGAAATGAGTACAATTGTGCAGTAGTTTGAATGATAGAGCTGTCCTATTCTGTAAAAGAGAAATAACATGACTGGATTGCCCTCCAAAAATTTTTGGATCAAAGAGAAGTAGCAAGTTGTTTATCTACAGTATATATGGATTGTAACATTTTCCTTCATGATTGCTGTAAGAAATTATCTTTTAATTTCTAAAATAGAGCATTGTGTTATAATTGATTTTGTTTAATGTTGTAATACAGAGCTTCACTAATCAATGTTAAATACTTCTTAAAAATAAGGTAGTAGGTAGCGTTTATTGAGAATACTTGTGTTTTTGTACTGAAGATTAACATTTGTTCAAAGGTGGTGACTGGCTAGTTTCCTCAGAAAAATATAAGTAATTTAAGTAGAAAGAGCAATTTTAATTAGGAAGAGATTTTTTAAAATTACTTATTGATTTTTAATTGTTTTAAAATACACATATAATTAACCACGGTAAGTGTACTGTTCAGTGGCATTAATTACCTTCAGTTTGTCTTCATCATTGTCAATCTGTAGAACTTTTCTCATATTGCAAACCTAAAACTCTGTTTGAGAAACTATTTCTGTTTTACTGAAACAGTAACTCCTCATTCCCCCTTCATCAGCCCCTGGCAGTCTCCCTTCTCCTTTCTGTCTCTATGAAGTTTACTAGTTCTCTTCTGTGTCATATATGAGTATTTGTCCTTTGTGACTGTTGTATTTCACTCAGCATGATGTCTTCTAGATTTTTCCATGTTGTAGCTTATGTTAAAATTTCCATCTTTATTAAGACTGAAAAGTAATCTACTGTAGAGATATCATATTTTGTTTCATTTGTTGATTGGTGGATGGATCTTGGGTGCTTTCACTTTTGGGCTATTATAAATAACGTTGCTATGAACATGAATGGCAAAATATCCCTTCATATCCCTGTATTAAGTTCTTCTGGGCATATACTCATAAATGAAATTACTGGGTCATATGATATATACTTAATTTTTTAGAAACTGCCATTCTCTTTCTCAAAATGGCTACACCATTTTATATTCCCACCAATAGCACCCAACTATTTCTGTTTCTCCACATCCTTTTTTAAAAATAATGATTTTAATGGGTATGAAGTGGTATTTTACTGTGGTTTTGCTTTGCTTTCATTTCTTCAATGATAGTGATGTCAAGCATTTTTTCATGTGCTTATTGACTATTTGTATATCTTCTGAGGAGAAAAGTTTATTCAAGTCCTGTCCCATTTTGATTGTATTTTTTTCTCACTGCTATTGAATTTCAGGCATAGTCTCTGTATCGTAGATATTAATTCCATATCAGATATATTATTTGTTGATAGTGTGCTTTGATGCACACAGCTTTTTCATATTGATGAAGTGCAGATTGCCTATTTTTTCTTTTATTGCCTACTCTTTTCGCGTCATGTTCAAAAAGGCACTGCCGAATCCAGTGTAATAAAACTTTTGCCCTGTTTTCTTCTAATGGATTTATAGTTTTAGCTCTTACATTTGTGGCTTTGATCCGTTTTGGGTTAACTTTTGTGTAGGATATAAAGTAATGGTCTGACTTCGTTGTTTACATGCAAATATCAAGTTTTTGCAACACCACTTCTTGAAAAGATTATCCTTTCCCCACTGAAAGATGTTAGCACCTTTGTTAAAAATCATTTGATCATATCTGTGAAGGTTTGTTTTTGAACTTTTTTCTCTTCCGTTGGTCTCCGTGTTTGTCTTTATGCCACTGCCACACTGTTTTGATTACTGTAGCTTTTTGTTGAAGTTGGGAAGTGAGTCTTCCATTTTTTTTTCTTTTTTTTCAAGATTTTTTGGTTATTTTAGGCCTACTGAGATTCCATATAAATTTTAGGATGCATTTTATTCTATTTCTGCAAAAAACTTCATTGAGATTTTGTTAAGGATTGCCTTGAGGCTTGTCAATTTAGTCTTTTTAAACAAGCTTTTGGTTTCATTGATTTTTCTCTATTGACTTCCTGATTTTAACGTACTGATTTTTCTTCAGATTTTTATTACTTCTCTTCTGCTTGCTTTGGATTTAATTTGCTCTTCTCTTTCTAGTTTCCTAAAATGGAAGCTTCAACTATTGATTTTAGATCTTTTTCTTGCTAATATATGCATTCAGTGCTATAAATTTTCCTCTGAGTGATGCATCCCACAGATTTCTTTATTATTATTTCTTTATTTCTTTATTTCTTCATTCTCATTTAGTTCAAAATATTCCTAATTTTTGCTTTAGGTTTCTTATTTGACTCATGTATTACTTAGAAGTATGTTGTTTGATCTCCAAATATAATCCGCTGTAGTCTGAGCAATATATTGTATGGTTTCTTTTTTTTTAATTTGTTAAGGTGTTTTACGGCCCAGAGTGTGATCTGTCTTAATGAATGATCCATGTGAGTTTGGGAAGAATGTGTATCCTACTGTTGTTAGATAAAGTAATATGTAGATATCAGTTATATCTGGTTTGATTTATTATTGAGTTCAACTACATTCTTACTAATGTTCTGCTTGCTGAATCTGTCCATTTCTGATACAGGAGTATGACACTTTTTTGATTCTACATTGATCTATGTATTTCTTCTTTTACTGTACCACATTGTCTTGCTTTGTAGCTTAAGTCTTGGAATCATTTAGTGTGAGCTCTTCATCTTCCTTCTTGAAAATTATTTTAGCTCTGCAGTTTCTCTGCTTTTCCACAAACATCTTAGGATCAAGTTACTAGTAGCTATAGAAAATTGTGCTGGAATATTGATTGAGATAGTATTGACTTTAAAAGCTTCTCAGATGGCTCAGTGGTAAAGAATCGACCAGACAATGCAGGAGACACAGGTTCAGTCCCTGGGTTGAGAAGATTCCCTAGAAGAGGAGATAGCAACCCACTCCAGTATTTTTGCCTGGAAAATCCCATGGACAGAGGATACTGACAGGCTACAGTCCATGAGGCTGTAAAGCGTCAGACATGACTGAGCAACTGAGCACACACACTTAACCAATGAACAGTGTTGTGATAGTTTCAGGGGTACAGCAAAGGGACTCAGCCATGCATATACATGTGTCCATTCTTCCCCAGACTCCTCTCCATTCAGGCTCCATTCTGCTCACGAAACATTGAGCAGAGTTCCATATGCTCTACTGTAGGCCCTTACTGGTTATCCATTTCAAATAGAGCAGTGTGTACATGTCCATTCCAAACTCCCTAAGTATCCCTTCCTCCCAGCAACTGTAAGTTCATTCTCTGAGTCTGTGAATCTCTTTCTGTTTCCCACATAAAGTTTTAAAATCATGGAATTCTTAAGTGAAAGATAAAATAAGAACTGCTTCCAGGTACTTTAAGTGACATTTGTGTATATATCATATATACAATGTGAGATATATATATGTATATGTATAAATCATACATGTGAAAATGTGTGTGTATGTGAAGTTCTCAAAAGGTTAATAGGTTGGAAGAGAAGCCATGTAGTTTCCCTGCTCATACACATACACACACAATTTAAAGTATGCTAAAACAAATACACATGTGTTTCCAGACTGCTTTTTTTTTTTTAACCTGTCTTGTATGCCTTAGTTAAGAGATCATATTTTTCTCTCATTATATATTGATTGTCTGTGTTGTTTTCCGACTTTGAGACTAAGCTCTGTTGGTTTAAATATACTGTTCTATTGAACATTGTTCATTTATTCAGTTTAAATATTTTTGATCCTAGTAAATCAAAATACTTAAATTAACATGAAAAGACAGCTGTAGCAAGAAGCAGACTCCCTAGGTTGTAGAAGCATTGGCTCATGCATTGTTTATTTTCATCTTTATTGTTATTATTCTTAGTGAAGCTGTGGTCTACCAACTTGGACAACTCAGTGGCAAGCATCGAGGCGAAGGCCAATGTGTGCTGTGTCAAATTCAGCCCCTCTTCCAGATACCATTTGGCTTTCGGCTGTGCAGGTAAGAAATGAAAGATTTGTCTTCTTTTGATGTCAGTTTTCATGACTAAGGTAAAAAAACATTTTAAAAAGAATAGCTTTCTTCGTAGCTTTAAACTTTGTTTTCATTATTACACTCTAAATTAGAAGTATGTAGTATACCATTTTTACTCATTAATTGCTGTGCTTTAATTTTAGCATTCCATCTCCCATGTTTGAAACATAAAGATGTGTTTGTTGATTATTTTTGTTTTTGTTCCTGTAAGTCTTTGCATACCCAGATTTATGCTTGTTTACAAATTTAGGTCATAATGATGTTTAAATATTGTATAGACACAGGAAACCTTTTGTTTTTAAATTATGGGAAACCTACTATAAAACCTTGAACAGTTATTGAGTGCCTACTATGTACAAAGCACCCATCTAGGGACAGTGAATAAGATAGATTAAATCTTATATTGTGGAGTACATGCTAACATAGTAAGTACCAGAAAAAAATCATACCAAAGAATTTTTTGTTAAAGTATTTTTCTTAACTAGGGTGTCTGTGTTTGCCTGGGTCAGTCCTAGTTTATATCTGTCTTACCATTATAATAACTGTTATGCCCTTCTTTCATTCCCAAAAGTGTTCTGGGTTGAAAGGTTAAGTATGTGATCACTCTACTCTTAATTCCTTTGTCTTCTATATCTGATTTCCTACCTTGAGTGTTTACTGAAGCAGTAAACACTTGTATTTTAACTTTTACATTGCTAAGTCTCCTTGATTCTTAATTCATTTTTTTTTTATTGATAATTTCAGTTAAAAAAATAAAGATTATCTAGCACAATATCATGAACATAATAATTACTTTTTTAAAAGGTAAATTTAAATCTTAATTTGTCATTACATCTTTTCCTCATTCCAGCTTACTGTGTATTTCACTTGGATACTAACATACTTTCATAGTTAAATTCCAGGAGAACATGTGTATGTGGGTAGAATTCCCTTTTCATTAGCAGATACTTTTTCCTCCAGTATGCTGCTCTTTTCCATTGGGAACTAATATTCTCTTATTTAAATCCTTCTTTGTCACTGACTAGAAATGTTACTTTGGGCAAGTTGATTAAATTCTCTCCCCAAGTTCCTTATCCTTAAAATAGAAATACATCTTTCGGGGCTCTTACGAGGATTATGAAAGGAAGATGCTATGTGTAAAGCTCTTAGAATATAATGCTCAATAATTGCTAAGGTATTTTTGTTAATTAATACTTAACAGTCATTTAGATAAAGTAGTTTTTTGAGTTTTTTAATGTTATAAAAACACTTACTATTAGTCATCATTTTTAATAGAAAAATGATGGTCATATTTATAATCAATATGAAATATGTGCAAATGTCAGACGTGAGCATCTTTAAAATTTCTCCTTCCTGGAAAGGAGAAATCTACTTTAAAAATGCCTCAACTATCTGGCAGGCAGTTTTGTCCTCACTGTGTTAAATTTTCATGTATTTCTTAGTTAATTTTCACGTTTCCATGTAAACTTTAAGATTTATATTTTTCCAGTTCTAGAAAAATTCTTTTGGGATTCTCATCTGAATTACCCTCTATTTATTAGTTAATTTTGGAACCAGTGATATTAAGATAGTTCATCTTACTACAGTTACATGGGATATCTTTTTGTTTGTTTGGACTATTTTCTGTCTTTCAAAGAGATTTTTAGTTTTAGTTTTTTTCAATTACATTTTAGGTCTTTTGGTTAATTTTTTTCTATTTTTGCTATAATTTTGTTATTATTTTTTTCCATTCCTTTAACTATTGTTTGATGAGAGTAAAAAAAAAACTGTTGATACTTGAATATTTGTATTATATCTAGGTATTGTTCTTATTAAATCTGGTAACTTTTTATTAGAGTCCTTTGGGCTATCTGTTTATATTTGATAGTAGCCAAAAGTGATGGTTGTATTTTTTTTCTTTTCTAATGATTCTTTACATTCTCTTTTTTTAAAAGGCATGTTATATACTAATTATAGTTACTTTTGCCATGTATTTCCTTTAGTTGAATCAGCTTTAGTGGTTTGCTGTTCATAACATCCCCTTTTGAAGAATAGTTTTGTGCATTTTAAAAAATTTTTTGGCCTTGCTCCATGGCTTGCAGGATCTTACTGCCCTGAGCAGGAATTGAACCCAGGCCTTTGACAGTAGAAGTGCAGAGTCCTAACCACTGGACTGCCAGGGAATTCCCTGAAAAATAGCATTCATTAAATTCAAATCATTTAACTGTTTCTTAGTTACGAGCAAATTCAGTATTTTATCAGGTGCCTTTTCAGCATCACTTTATATAATCACATGGTTTAATTTGTTGAGATATGCTTATACATTTTCTGATACTATGTTTGTGTTTCTAGAGTAAACCTAGAATTTAGGTTTAGCATTAATGTGGAATTCTTTTGATAAATTGCTAGACTTTTTGGCTTATATTTTTAATATCTGTAAACATAAATTGGTTTATAATCCTCTGTCTCCTTTTTAACCATTTTTAACATCTGTATTTTAACTTTCGGTATGTTAGCCTTGAACTCCTTTTGTTAAATTTATTCCTAAGTGTTTTATTACTGAATGGAATTGTTGTCTTAATTTTATTTTTGGATTGTTTGTTGCTAGGCTTCAGAAATACAATCAATTTTTTGCATATTGATTTTGCATCCTGTAATCTTGGTACTCATGTTTATTTTCTCATAGTTTTAAGATGAATTTCTTGAGATTTTTCCACATTTAGGATTGTATCATCTGTGAATAAAAATAATTTTATTTCTTTTTGTACTATGTTAATGCTTTTTTGCTTTACTGCATGAATTAAAAGCTCTTATATAATACTGAATGAAATTGGCCGAAGGGATTTCCTTATCTTAGGGGGAAGTATTCATTCATTCACAATGAAGTGTGATGTTAGCTGTGAGTTTTTGTAGATACCCTTTATCAGGTTAAGTTTCCTTCTATTCCTAGTTGCGAAAAGTATTTATTATTATATTATTAGATTTTGTCTAAAGTTTTTCTACCTATTTTGAGATGATCTTGTGATTTATGTTATTTATTATAATAATATGAGGTATTTCATGGGGGGGGTGGTTGTTGTTGTTTTAATGTTAGAGCAACTTTCCATTCCTGGGAAAAACCCGTCTTGACCACATTGTGAAATTTTTTTACTTGTTGCTGGATTTAGTTTGCTAAAGTACTATTGGCCTCATAGAATGACTTGGAAATTGTTTCCTCATTTGCTTACTGAATGAGTTTGTAAAGGATTATTATTATTTCTTGTATAAATATTTGGTGGAGTATATCAGTGAAACCATCTAAACTTGGACTTTTCTTTGTGGAAAAATTTTATATTGCCTAGTTTCAGTTTCTTTACTTTTTATAAGTCTATTCAGATTTTCTGTTTCTTCTTGAAGTTCTTTTTGGTAGGAATTTGTAAATTTAATTTTTCTAATTAGTGGGCATGAAGTTGTTCATAAGATTCTCTTGTGATTTAATTCCTTTAAGTTTCCTCTTCCTTTAGTGTTCTGTAGTGTCGGTTGTGATATTCCTTCTTTCATTCTTGATTGGTCATTTGTGTCTTCTGTCTTTTTTCTTCATTGTTCTAGCTAAATATTTGTACCTTCTTCAAAGTGCATGTATGTGTGTGTGTTTATGTTGGGGTGTGTGTGGTGGGTAGTGCTTCTGGGGCCAGAACACCACACATTCCTACTGTTTTTAATGTTCTTATGCAAATTTGATTATTAGGAGAGTTGGAGATATGCAAATTGAACCTTCTGGAATGACTCTTATCTCACTCTCAGTATAGGTAAGCCAGGAGAGCTGTTATTTCTTTCTCGGCCATTGGAACTGTTGTGATCAACGTTTGTTGACGAGAATGTGATGCCATGGCTGTAATCAAAGGATCAGAAATTCACTGTAATTGCCACAGAGCTGCAGACTGGACACTGGAACAGTACTGCATCTGTTCCAGGGAACATCCACATCTTTACAGTGGTGCTTGGAACAGATATTTCCAACGCAGAATGACCACAAAATTCCAACCTTTCAAATCATACATAAGTGCATCCCATTGTGAAATCTGTTTCACATCTAGAAGCATAGCTACATGAGAATCTGGGCAATATAGTTTTTACTTTCCATCTTCCATTGGCTGTAAATTCTATAAGGTGTTGGGAACAGATACTAAATGTCATCTGCCCTATCCATCACAATGATGAATAATTGATGTGAGTTAAAGACTTATTTTTCCTGGCTTTGAAATAGGGTTAGAATCAATGCCTTTATTCATAGTTTTGTTTTTTTTTTTTTAAAAAAAACAACTTTATTACTAGAAGACAGTGACTGATATTGAATAATCTTCATTTAGAATTGAAATATTTCTTAGAATGTAGGCTATTATCTAGATGTTGCTCCTTAAACTATAAAACATCAGTCTCTCTTTAGCTGTACCGTTTATTTTGCCACTGAGAGAGTTACAGAATCATAATCATGAGGTTGCTTATTAAATATCATTTGTGATGATGAATTCGATGTTCGGAATGGGCTGTACATTTTTAAACATTGCTTTTGGAGTTATGATAATACAAAATTAGTATGTGAACCCCCCAGCAGTTACGGACTGACTCCTGGTTGAAAGGGCACTATGGATCCTACTTGGGTAATGATGCCTAATGCTAATACTAAGCTTTCCTGCCTACTTTCATTTAGATCTTCTATTTCCATTTGATGCAGTGAGTTCATCTCTCTCTTTGTGCTCATTATTTTGCTCTTTCACCTTTTAACATAATATAAAAAGATGGGTTTGGGGGGGCCATTGATTGGTTGGTTAGATTTTTTTTTTTTCTTGTTTTTACTAGAACTTAGAGCGTGAAAAATTTCTTAAGGTGGACTAAAAGTTTGCAAGTACTTCTTTTAAAATATCAAATCCTAGGTCATGGTCCCCTTGAAAAAAGTAGACTACAGAGTTTTAAACTATCTTTTTTTGTATTAAATATTGAGAAAAAGG